GGGCATGGTTGACTTGGGGGGGGAGTTAATTGGTGGGGGTGGGGGTGTAGATGTGGTTGATGGTGCTGTGATCTGGATGTAGGTCCTCTCTGCGGGGGTCCTCTATGTGTAGGTCCTGGGGGGGGTCCCGCAGGTCTGGGAGAGTGTCTCGCTGGTCTGGGCGGGGTGTCTGTTGATCTGTTGCTCCTGTGTGAGGTGTTGGGTCTGCGGTTGAGGGCGATATCCTTTAGGGTCCGGGCGAAGGTGGGCACTGCTGCCTTGTATAGGTGGACCCGGTCATAAAGGCTGTTCACGTCCAGGGTGGAGTGGTGGGCCAGGTAGACATTTGGTTTTGATGCACAGTCACGGGAAATACTTGCGTTTACCCGCTGTATGGTAGCAGGGTGGAAGTCTTTTCGTGGTAACAGGGTTGAGATAACCACTTGTGCGTTGGGGAAAGTAGAAGAAGCTTTTTCTATCACTCCCTTGAGTGATGTGGCCACCCTTTCCTGCTGTGTTCTCAGGTCGTTTGTGCCTGTGTGTATTATTATGTGGCTGGGTGATCCTAGTCGGTCCTCAGACAGAAGGTCTAGGGCGCGCTGGGTGTTTGGACACCAGAGTTTAGACACTGTGTGTTTTGGAAAAAGTTTATTTTCTTGTATGTATTTCCCGTTTGAGTCCATAAGGAGTACAATCTGTGGCTTGTGTATGTCCTCAGTGGGTGTGGGGGGGTCGTCATGAGGGCTATCAGGGTGTCTGACTGGGGGGTTGCTCAGAGGGGTTGGGATCCCCTGGGCTTGGGGTTCTTCATTTGTTTGTCTGGGTGTGATGTCGAGGCTATGGTCAGGGTCTAGGGTGTACTGTTCTGCTGCGGTGTCGAGACTTTGGCCAGGATCTGAGGTGGGCTGTTCTGCTGACTTCTCTGCGGGGGTGGCCAGCTCTCTAATGGGTTGTTCTATGTCACCCGTCATCGTTCTCACCTTCTCCTCCAGCACTCTGATCCTCTCCTCTAGTGCTCTGTTCTTCTCCTGCTCCTGCTCTTTCTCCTGTTGATGTTGTCTCATCACAGTCCAGAGTGCAGACATGTCTCTCTCTACCTGCAGCTCTCCAGGTCTAGTTAAGGGGGTGTTGTGCTGGACTGTTGTCTGGGTCTGTGCTGACTGGAGTGTGTTCACCTGCTGTTCCAGCTCCACCTGCCTTACCTCCAGCTGGGTGAATTCATCCTTCATTTCAATGAGGGAGTAGTACTCTGTGCTGGGAAGTTGACTTTCTGCTTGGGGTTGCTCTGTGGGGTTATTCAATGAAGAGGTCTGGTCTGACCCGCTCGGGGTAGGGGTATCTTTCTCAAGGGAGAGATTCTCCTGCTGAGCTATTTCTTTGATTAGGTGAAAGTCCAGCTGGAACTGTTTGGTGTTGCCTTGAACCAAAACGGTTCCAGATTTATAGAGATTAATATTAGACGACTCAGAGTCCTCGTTGTCCAGTATCCTGAGTTTCCACCCGTCGCTAACACCCCCCCTCTTAACAGAGGGGTAGTGTGCTAGTATAGCACTGTGCCATGCCAGGGGATGGTCTGTGTGGAAGATAAGGTTGCTTATGTTCCCATTTTTATACAAATCAGCAAAAAGTGTCTCGTGCTTCCCCAAAAGAAGTTTCAATTTGTACTCTTTTCGTGTCTTGTCGTTTTTTACATTCAGAGGGTACTGTATTTTAATGACCTCTGAACAGTGGGGGGTGGGGTACTTCTAAGGCCTCTCCATTTAGTTGGGGTAGACTGTACGACTCTCCTGCCATTGTTGGGCTCAAGGGCTTTGACACCTCTCACTTCACACGTCAGTGCTAATTGAAATTGTATCTCTTTGTACAAGCAAGCTTAAGCTTGGTAGCCTTAGCATTCAGTCCTTATAAAATAAAATATATAATTGTAATGTATTTTTCTTCTTGGTTTTTGAAAGTGAAAAATAGCTTCATACTAAACATTACTCACTCAGTTCCAGGTTGGATGGTGTTTTCAGGTTTCTGTTTGTTTGCCAGAGCATTTGCTGTATAGTTTGGGAATAGTAATCCTTGGTAGTAGAAAGCTTTCCAGGTAATTCCGTCCAAAATCAGGTTGTAGGTTTGGAGTTTTGGTTTGGAATGAAGGTTATGTTGTGGAGGGTAGCATCCTGTATATGTCCCTGCCAAAAAATCATACTTTATCTAACTCTAAATCTATATTTTTTGTTTAAAATGCAGGAGCAATGTCTTTGAGCTCTCTCTCTCTCTCTCTGTCTCTCTCTTTCTCTCTGTCGCTCTCTCTGTCTTTCAAATCAAAATTCAAGCTGCTTTATTGGCATGAAAAACATTATGTCAATATTTCCAAAGCAATAAAATAAAATAATGGAGAATAATATATCAAATGATAGTAAATAATAATAAAGATTAATAATAGAAATAACAACAATAAAATGGTAACAGTCGATAGTAGAAATAGAAAAATATAATAAATAATAGGGTCAATAAAAGGCTATACATGGAAAATTAACATGTTACTATTATTACTACTAAAACGAATGCTACCACCACTATTATTAACACTAATACTACAACTATCCCTACTACTACCATTACCACTAGTAGCACTTCTACTTCTAATATCTCTACCTACTAAAACTATAACTAACCTAGAACTGTCATCATCATCATTACATCCGTACTACAACTCCCATCATCATTACTACTACTACTACCACCACTATCACTACCATCATTAAACTACTACCCGTTACCATCACCCCTACTGCCCGTACCACTACTATTTGGAATAATAATAATAATATTATTTGTCCCTCAGGCTATGGCAAATGCATATTTGTCTGCAAGAAGTGCCGTTGCTCTCTCTCTCTCTCTCTCTCTCTCTCTCTCTCTCTCTCTCTCTCTCTCTCTCTCTCTCTCTCTCTCTCTCTCACTCTCTCACACACAACACAGTGGCCCAAGCTTTGGATAATTGTTCAAATCTGAAAATGATCTAATTAAACTAGAGTCAGAGTGTTCGACAATAAAGAGTTATCTGCAAAGCGAACCACAGGTTTTGTACTGCTAAGATTCACAGAGCAGAGAAGTGAAAATGTGAATATTCTAAGACACCAAGGTCAAGCCCCCCAGATAGCATATGAACACGACATAAGCCATGACATTTTGTTTTAGAATAACAGGACATTTGCTTTAAAGCTGCTAAATTGATTAAACATGATTGATTGTGTAGAAGTATAGTTGGTCTCTAGCATTATATTGATTACATTCTTCTTTTCTTCAAGAGCCATATCTCTATCTAGTGCTCAGTGTGCTCCTTTTGCACGAGAATGGATATGGTTAGTGGATAAGGGTCTCTTATAAGAATCCAATTTACAGTATGTGATGTCAAGTGTGTTGGTTACTGTGTTTTTCTGCATACATATCCATGTCTCTTCTACGCAGAACCGCATCTGCCTATACGCATACTACTTTTTTTTTTAAGGAACTCAGTCGGGATCTCAACTTACTGTTGAAAGTTAGAAAAGTGTAATACACAAGTTGCAATTTCGAAATTTGGTACTGCATCAGCCATCATCAGTTGTACACAGTCATTGACAGTCACTCAATTATCCTGTGTCAGCTGACATGATTTAGATTGTTAGGTAAGGTAGCCTATCGTCAAATTACTGACCGGGCCCAGGGGCCCTCACCTCCAGGAGGCCCATTACTGACCGGGCCCAGGGCCCCTCACCTCCAGGAGGCCCATTACTGACCGGGCCCAGGGGCCCTCACCTCCAGGAGGCCCATTACTGACCGGGCCCAGGGCCCCTCACCTCCAGGAGGCCCATTACTGACCGGGCCCAGGGGCCCTCACCTCCAGGAGGCCCATTACTGACCGGGCCCAGGGCCCCTCACCTCCAGGAGGCCCATTACTGACCGGGCCCAGGGCCCCTCACCTCCAGGAGGCCCATTACTGACCGGGCCCAGGGGCCCTCACCTCCAGGAGGCCCATTACTGACCGGGCCCAGGGCCCCTGACCTCCAGGAGGCCCATTACTGACCGGGCCCAGGGGCCCTCACCTCCAGGAGGCCCATTACTGACCGGGCCCAGGGCCCCTCACCTCCAGGAGGCCCATTACTGACCGGGCCCAGGGGCCCTCACCTCCAGGAGGCCCATTACTGACCGGGCCCAGGGCCCCTGACCTCCAGGAGGCCCATTACTGACCGGGCCCAGGGGCCCTCACCTCCAGGAGGCCCATTACTGACCGGGCCCAGGGCCCCTCACCTCCAGGAGGCCCCATTGATTTTGGGTTAGTGATATCTGGCACTAAAATGTTTTGCCAGTGAGGTGGAGGGGGGTGCAACCAAATCTCACTTAGGGCCCACAAAAGGCAAGAGGCGCTTCTGTCTATGGATATCAATAATTCATTAACTAAGCCTACAGGATGGCGTATAGACGGAGGGCATTTAGTGTATTAATCACTCCCATCCGCAACACTACTAATCATTATTATAAGGCATTATAAAGGCTCATAGATTATTATAACAAGTTATAAAGCATTAACATACAATTATAGATGATATGTTAAAACACAGTCTATTATGTATTGTTCCCATCTGCAGCACTACTAACCAAACGGAACTTTCTTGTTAATTCTGTTTTGTCTCTTCCTGTTGTAGAAGTATCTTTAGACCCAAGCCCCTCCGGCACGCTTTGATATTTAAATGATATCCACACTGGTCTCTGGATCGCTGGTTCCAGCCTGGTGTGTTTAGGGCAAGTGGAGAAGGGGGGGAGGGGGGGAAAGAAGGTAGGAGGGGGGGAAGAAAGGTGAAAAAAGCTGTTCTCTGGATCGAGACTGACGAAATGTTTTGGAAGAGGAGAAAGGGAGAGAGGGGTGGAGAGAGAGAAGGCTGCTGCCTGCCGCTGTGCCGTTGTTACTGAGCTATATTTGGAGCTATATTTGGCAGGGGTGTGTGGGTGTGTATCAGTCTGGCATGTGAGGAGTCAGTCTTCCTGTGGTGTGTATGGGCCAGCTGGGACTGAGAGGAGATGGGGGATTGGAGGACGGTGACGGTGAGTGTACAGCACGTTGGGTTTCAGACCTACTGAGGCGGGGCCGAGGGGGAGATGTATTTTCACCCATGACAGGTTTAGCTGACAGTGAGCCGATACGATGAGGGAATCAGTGTCTTCTACTATAGATGTGATGCTCTTCCCTTTACCAGGTTTCTTTCAGAAAGTGTTGAGGTATTTGAATGGCTTAACTTGATACCTACCCTGGTTATCCAGTTCATGTCTCCAAAGTTATGGCTGGGATAAGAAAAACAGTACTTTATTAATCCCCCAAAGGGGAAATGTTATTACACCAGCCAATAAAAAAAATAAAAAATAAAAACACAATAAAACGGAACAACGGACACACCATCTATGCACCATCACACCATCTATGCACCATCACACCATCTATGCACCATCACACCATCTATGCACCATCACACCATCTATGCACCATCTAAGAGCAGCACATTGTGTGGTGACTGACTGTTGGTGGGCGATATGAACCTGATAATACTGTTTAGATGGGAAGATAAAGCATGTAGTGGTGGTGACAGTATCTGTCGCAACAGAATCTACAGTAGACTTACTGTATATGCTGCAAGGTTTGCTTTGGTTCAGTTCAGTAAATGAACAGAGGAACATTAGTAGATGTACTGTATGTTGTTGCAGTGTTCACCTCACACACACGCTCCCCGGACACGACTGCTTTGGAAAGCACTACAGGAACTGAACATGAACTGGAACTGCCAGTCCTAGCTACGCAGGTCACATGGGGCCAGGGCCAGGCCAGACAGGTCACATGGGGCCAGGGCCAGGCCAGACAGGTCACATGGGGCCAGGGCCAGGGCAAGGCCAGACAGGTCACATGGGTGCAGGGCCATACAGGTCACATGGGTGCAGGGCCAGGGCCAGGGCCAGGTCAGACAGGACACATGGGGCCAAGGCCAGGCCAGACAGGTCACATGGGTCCAGGGCCAGGGCCAGGTCAGACAGGACACATGGGGCCAAGGCCAGGCCAGACAGGTCACATGGGTCCAGGGCCAGGGCCAGGTCAGACAGGACACATGGGGCCAAGGCCAGGCCAGACAGGTCACATGGGGCCAGGGCCAGGGCCAGGTCAGACAGGACACATGGGGCCAAGGCCAGGTCAGACAGGTCACATGGGTCCAGGGCCATACAGGTCACATGGGTCCAGGGCCAGGTCAGACAGGTCACATGGGGCCAGGGCCAGGGCCAGGTCAGACAGGACACATGGGTCCAGGGCCATACAGGTCACATGGGTCCAGGGCCAGGTCAGGTCAGACAGGTCACATATGGGCCAGGCCAGGTCAGACAGGTCACATGGGCCAGGGCCAGGGCCAGGTCAGACAGGTTACATGGGGTCCCCAGGGCAGGTCAGAGGTCAGACAGGTCACATGGGCGCCAGGGCCATGGGCCAGGGTCAGACAGGTCACATGGTGCCAGGGCCAGGTCAGACAGGTCACATGGGGCCAGGGCCAGGTCAGACAGGTCACATGGGGCCAGGGCCAGGGCCAGTCAACAGGTCACATGGGGCCAGGGCCAGGGCCAGGTCAGACAGGTCACATGGGGCCAGGCCAGCAGACAGGTCACATGGGGTCCAGGGCCAGGTCAGACAGGTCACATGGAGCCAGGGCCAGGGCCAGGTCAGACAGGTCACATGGGGCCAGGGCCAGGGCCAGGTCAGACAGTTACATGGGTCCAGGGCCAGGTCAGGTCAGACAGGTCACATGGGGCCAGGGCCAGGGCCAGGTCAGACAGGTCACATATGGCCAGGGCCAGGTCAGACAGGTCACATGGGGCCAGGCCAGGCCAGTCAGACAGGTCACATGGGGCCAGGGCCAGAGACAGGTCACATGGGGCCAGGGCCAGGGTCAGACAGGTCACATGGGGCCAGGGCCAGGGCCAGGTCAGACAGGTCACATGGGGCCAGGCCAGGCCAGGTCACATGGTCCATGGGGCCAGGGTCAGACAGGTCACATGGGGTCCAGGGCCAGGTCAGGTCCATGGGCAGGTCACAGGTCCAGGGCCAGGTCAGGTCAGACAGGTCACATGGGGCCAGGGCCAGGTCAGACAGGTCACAGGGCCAGGCCAGGTCAGACAGGTCACATGGGTCCAGGGCCGACAGGTCAGGCAGTCAGACAGGTCACATGGGTCCAGGGCCAGGTCAGGTCAGACAGGTCACATGGGGCCAGGGCCAGGTCAGGTCAGACAGGTCACATGGGGCCAGGGCCAGGTCAGACAGGTCAAATGGGGCCAGGGCCAGGTCAGACAGGTCACATGGGGCCAGGGCCAGGCCAGGTCAGACAGGTCACATGGGGCCAGGGCCAGGGCCAGGTCAGACAGGTCACATGGGGCCAGGCCAGACAGGTCACATGGGTCCAGGGCCAGGGCCAGGTCAGACAGGTCACATGGAGCCAGGGCCAGGGCCAGGTCAGACAGGTCACATGGGGCCAGGGCCAGGGCCAGGTCAGACAGGTCACATGGGGCCAGGGCCAGGGCTAGGTCAGACAGGTCACATGGGGCCAGGGCCAGGGCCAGGTCAGACAGGTCACATGGGGCCAGGCCAGACAGGTCACATGGGTCCAGGGCCAGGGTCAGGTCAGACAGGTCACATGGAGCCAGGGCCAGGGCCAGGTCAGACAGGTCACATGGGGCCAGGGCCAGGGCCAGGTCAGACAGGTTACATGGGTCCAGGGCCAGGTCAGGTCAGACAGGTCACATGGGGCCAGGGCCAGGGCCAGGTCAGACAGGTCACATATGGCCAGGGCCAGGTCAGACAGGTCACATGGGGCCAGGGCCAGGTCAGACAGGTCACATGGGGCCAGGGCCAGACAGGTCACATGGGGCCAGGGCCAGGTCAGACAGGTCACATGGGGCCAGGGCCAGGGCCAGGTCAGACAGGTCACATGGGGCCAGGCCAGACAGGTCACATGGGTCCAGGGCCAGGTCAGACAGGTCACATGGGTCCAGGGCCAGGTCAGGTCAGACAGGTCACATGGGTCCAGGGCCAGGTCAGGTCAGACAGGTCACATGGGGCCAGGGCCAGGTCACATGGGTCCAGGGCCAGGGCCAGGTCAGACAGGTCACATGGGTCCAGGGCCAGGTCAGACAGGTCACATGGGTCCAGGGCCAGGTCAGGTCAGACAGGTCACATGGGGCCAGGGCCAGGTCAGGTCAGACAGGTCACATGGGGCCAGGGCCAGGTCAGACAGGTCAAATGGGGCCAGGGCCAGGTCAGACAGGTCACATGGGGCCAGGGCCAGGGCCAGGTCAGACAGGTCACATGGGGCCAGGGCCAGGGCCAGGTCAGACAGGTCACATGGGGCCAGGCCAGACAGGTCACATGGGTCCAGGGCCAGGGCCAGGTCAGACAGGTCACATGGAGCCAGGGCCAGGGCCAGGTCAGACAGGTCACATGGGGCCAGGGCCAGGGCCAGGTCAGACAGGTCACATGGGTCCAGGGCCAGGTCAGGTCAGACAGGTCACATGGGTCCAGGGCCAGGTCAGGTCAGACAGGTCACATGGGGCCAGGGCCAGGTCAGACAGGTCACATGGGGCCAGGGCCAGGTCCAGGTCAGACAGGTCACATGGGGCCAGGGCCAGGGCCAGGTCAGACAGGTCACATGGGGCCAGGGCCAGGTAAGACAGGTCACATGGGGCCAGGGCCAGGGCCAGGCCAGGTCAGGACATGGCCCATGGGGCCAGGGCCAGGTCCAGACAGGTCCACATGGTGCCAGGGCCAGGTCCGAAAGGTACATGGGTCAGGCCATGGGGCCAAGAAGGTCACATGGGCCAGGCCAGGGGCCAGGCCAGACAGGTCACATGGGGCCAGGGCCAGGTCAGACAGGTCAGACAGGGTCTCAACTCAGGTACTGGAGCAGGTAGGTCACATAAATGCCATCTGAAGTGATGCAATGGGTGACTTTGAGAGCTTGGATTTGGCCGCAGTAGGTGTATTTACAGTGGGGGGAAAAAGTATTTAGTCAGCCACCAATTGTGCAAGTTCTCCCACTTAAAAAGATGAGAGAGGCCTGTAATTTTCATCATAGGTACACGTCAACTATGACAGACAAAATGAGAAAAGAAAATCCAGAAAATCACATTGTAGGATTTTTAATGAATTTATTTGCAAATTATGGTGGAAAATAAGTATTTGGCAATAACAAAAGTTTCTCAATACTTTGTTATATACCCTTTGTTGGCAATGACACAGGTCAAACGTTTTCTGTAAGTCTTCACAAGGTTTTCATACACTGTTGCTGGTATTTTGGCCCATTCCTCCATGCAGATCTCCTCTAGAGCAGTGATGTTTTGGGGCTGTCGCTGGGCAACACGGACTTTCAACTCCCTCCAAAGATGTTCTATGGGGTTGAGATCTGGAGACTGGCTAGGCCACTCCAGGACCTTGAAATGCTTCTTACGAAGCCACTCCTTCGTTGCCCGGGCGGTGTGTTTGGGATCATTGTCATGCTGAAAGACCCAGCGTTTCATCTTCAATGCCCTTGCTGATGGAAGGAGGTTTTCACTCAAAATCTCACGATACATGGCCCCATTCATTATTTCCTTTACACGGATCAGTCGTCCTGGTCCCTTTGCAGAAAAACAGCCCCAAAGCATGATGTTTCCACCCCCATGCTTCACAGTAGGTATGGTGTTCTTTGGATGCAACTCAGCATTCTTTGTCCTCCAAAACGACGAGTTGAGTTTTTACCGAAAAGTTATATTTTGGTTTCATCTGACCATATGACATTCTCCTAATCCTCTTCTGGATCATCCAAATGCACTCTAGCAAACTTCAGACGGGCCTGGACATGTACTGGCTTAAGCAGGGGGACACGTCTGGCACTGCAGGATTTGAGTCCCTGGCGGTGTAGTGTGTTACTGATGGTAGGCTTTGTTACTTTGGTCCCAGCTCTCTGCAGGTCATTCACTAGGTCCCCCTGTGTGGTTCTGGGATTTTTGCTCACCGTTCTTGTGATCATTTTGACCTCACGGGGTGAGATCTTGCGTGGAGCCCCAGATCGAGGGAGATTATCAGTGGTCTTGTATGTCTTCCATTTCCTAATAATTGCTCCCACAGTTGATTTCTTCAAACCAAGCTGCTTACCTATTGCAGATTCAGTCTTCCCAGCCTGGTGCAGGTCTACAATTTTGTTTCTGGTGTCCTTTGACAGCTCTTTGGTCTTGGCCATAGTGGAGTTTGGAGTGTGACTGTTTGAGGTTGTGGACAGGTGTCTTTTATACTGATAACAAGTTCAAACAGGTGCCATTAATACAGGTAACGAGTGGAGGACAGAGGAGCCTCTTAAAGAAGAAGTTACAGGTCTTTGAGAGCCAGAAATCTTACTTGTTTGTAGGTGACCAAATACTTATTTTCCACCATAATTTGCAAACAAATTCATAAAAAATCCTACAATGTGATTTTCTGGATTTTTTTTCCTCAAATTGTCTGTCATAGTTGACGTGTACCTATGATGAAAATTACAGGCCTCTCTCATCTTTTTAAGTGGGAGAACTTGCACAATTGGTGGCTGACTAAATACTTTTTTCCCCCACTGTAGATCAAGTAGCAAGTTATTTTGACTGATATCATATTTTTTGATGATTTGAAAACATGGAGTCTTTGCAGATTTTCTTTGTAAACCTGCTGTTCTCTCTCCTCTCTCTCTCTCTCTCTCTCTCTCTCCTCTCTCTCCCTCTCTCTCTCTCGCTCTCTCTCTCTAGGGTTCAGCTGATTCCTACACTAGTAGACCCTCAGATTCCGACGTGTCCCTGGAGGACGACCCAGAGGCGTCTCGGCTTGAAGCCGAGCGCCAGGCCCAACTGCAGTTGGAGAGAGCCAAGGTAGCTAACCCGGCTTCAAACCCCTAATCAGTTGGAGAGAGCCAAGGTAGGTAACCCAGCTTCAGACCCCTAGTCAGTTGGAGAGAGCCAAGGTAGCTCACCCGGCTTCAAACCCCTAGTCAGTTGGAGAGAGCCAAGGTAGGTAACCCGGCTTCAAACCCCTAATCAGTTGGAGAGAGCCAAGGTAGCTAACCCGGCTTCAAACCCCTAGTCAGTTGGAGAGAGCCAAGGTAGGTAACCCGGCTTCAAACCCCTAGTCAGTTGGAGAGAGCCAAGGTAGGTAACCCGGCTTCAAACCCCTAGTCAGCTGGAGAGAGCCAAGGTAGGTAACCCGGCTTCAAACCCCTAGTCAGTTGAGAGAGCCAAGGTAGGTAACCCGCTTCAAACCCCTAGTCAGCTGGAGAAGCCAAGGTAGGTAACCCGGCTTCAGACCCCTAGTCAGCTGGAGAGAGCCAAGGTAGGTAACCCGGCTTCAAACCCCTAGTCATCTGAGAGAGCCAAGGTAGTAACCCGGCTTCAAACCCCTAGTCAGTTGGAGAGAGCCAAGGTAGGTAACCCGTTCAAACCCCTAGTCAGTTGGAGAGAGCCAAGGTAGGTAACCCGGCTTCAGACCCCTAGTCAGTTGGAGAGAGCCAATGCGATAGAAATTGAAAGGCAGTGTTCCTGCGTTGGCGGAGACTGCAATCACGGTAAACGCTACATATCTCAGCACAATCGGAAATTACATTTACATTTAAATCGCGCTACAGTGCTGATCTTCAGCACTACGAATTTAATCGAGCCCTTAGTCAGGAATAAGTCTGGTTTGAAGTCGAATGCCAGTCCCAACTGCAGCTGAGAGAGAGCCAAGGAAGGCAACCTCTCCTTTACCCGCTAGTCAGCCCTAGTTAATAGTGTCAGTAGTTTAGTTAGTTAATTAGCTGGAAGCCAAGCGCCAGGCCAAACTGCAGCTGGAGAGAGCCAAGGTAAGAGTTCAACTTTAGTCAGTAGTTTAGGTATACAGGTGTTTAATCAGACCAAACTGCAGATGGAGAGAGTTAAGGTGAGCAACACTTCCTCTCTTCTCCCCTGCAACTATTCCTCGGGTCGTACAGATGTAGGATCTTAATTTGAGCCAGTTTACTACTGGAAATGTGGATTATTATGTGGATTATAATGAATGTTGGACATTTTAAAGTAGAAATTACTAACTTTAGAATCCTTTTAAACTACAAGTTTGCATTTCCTGCTGCGCCGAACAATTCTCCGCAACAAAAGAGTGATCAAATTAAGATCCTAAATCTGTATATGTGAACGTGTTCTCAGGCAACTTACCTGGTAAAATAAAGGTTGAAAAGAAACAATTAAGCAGTGTTTAGTCAGGTCCAGAGAGCCAAGGAGAGACCCCCATATGATGAGATATTGTCAGGTCACAGCATCCATTCGTAAACACTGTTTTATGTCTCTCTCTGTCCTCCCCAGTCGAAACCGGTAGCATTTGCAGTGAAGACCAACGTGAGTTACTGTGGGGCTCTAGATGCAGACTGTCCTGTCCAAGGTGCTGCTATCAACTTTGAAACCAAAGATTTTCTACACATAAAAGAGGTGAGGGGAGTTCAGTAGGCATCATTATCAATGATCACTATCACATCATCACCTGGTCTCCCGAGTGGCGCAGTGGTCTAAGGCACTGCATCACAGTGCTAGCTGTGCCACTAGAGATCCTGGTTCGAATCCAGGCTCTGTCGTAGCTGGCCGCGACCGGGAGACCCATGGGGCGGCGCGCAATTGGTCCAGGGTAGGGGAGGGAATGGCCGGCAGGGATGTAGCTCAGTTGATAGAGCATGGCGTTTGCAACGCCAGGGTTGTGGGTTTGATTCCCACAGGGGGTATGAAAAAAATAATGTATGCACTAACTGTAAGTCGCTCTGGATAAGAGCGTCTGCTAAATGACTTAAATGTAATCACTATTGCCACTATCACATTTCTTTAGTTGTTACTGGATAAGAGCGTCTGCTAAATGACGTAAATGTAAATGTAAATGTTGCAGTTATCTTAAACAGTAGCTATTGTATCCCAGTCCTTACACATTCACAATATGTATGGCCATGACTACCACAGGCATCTCTATCACGGCGGTTACTAAGAATCTGCCACATTAACCACTGCTGCCATATTGTTGAAACAGCGGTGACAGCAGTTTCATTTTGACCTGACTGGCGTCCATTTTGGCCCTTTGCAGAAATACAGCAATGACTGGTGGATCGGTCGGCTGGTGAAGGAAGGGGCAGACATAACCTTCATCCCCAGCCCGGTGAAACTGGAGGCCATGCGGATCAAACAGGAACAGAAACAGGCCCAGAGGTCAGGGTTCACCCTCTCTCATATATCCCCCTGCTACATCCAAAGTCTCTTTCTCAGTAGTCTTTCCTCTTTTCCTTGTGTCCTCTTCTCCAATCCTCTCCCTGCCTTCTTCTCAAAACTTCAACAAGGACTTGTAAAATATTCCTTGAATATCATAAGGAAGCAAGAGGAGGATTCAAGGAGATGATTCAAGGAGAGGTAAGGTACTTGTACAGTCCTTGAATCCTGGTCTTCCTCATCGGCACCATGTTGTTGTCCTACAGGAAAGCAGGGAACTCATCGTCCGGCTGGAGATCCACACCACCTACTGCAGGTGAGTGACTGCTGTTGGGTGATTGACCTACCCCTTCTCCCTCATACCAGAATCAATTGCTTTTCATTATGTAGCAAAGCATGTTTATTCATTATCAATCAATCAATCGCATTTCTTTTATAGAGCCCTTTTTACATCAGCAGTTGTCACGAAGTGCTTTACAGATACCCAGCATAAAATCCCAAGCAATTAACCAAATGCACAGTATCCAGAGTTGAGGTCAACTCCATTTCAATTGAGTCAATTCAGGAAGGATGCTGAAAATCTGATTCCAACCCTGACAGTGTTGTTGCATTTTACTGGATGAATACGAAAGGGTCTGGAAGGTTGCTACAGGATATCCTGTCTTCAGACACTACACCATCTGCTCTCCATAGATAGACTTCCATATTAGCTTTCATGCTAAATCTGTTTTTTCTTGTTTTTACAAGCCAAGCAGAAGCAAAAGCAGGTATGTTGGAAATGCAGATTATTCTACTTTGTATCAGAGCTAGAATGAAGAACGGATGTGTAATAAAATACTCTCTACTCCAATCTGTTTTGCTCTTATTTGATGACACTGGTAGATTCTAATCTCTGATGACTGGAGGGTTATGCTTAGGGCCCAGAGTTATCCCTGACCACATGATCTGACCAGGGCCTTAGTAAAAACTCAGGGTTCTAGTTATGCTCTAAAGTGTGTGTTGGCCCGTTCCAAGTGCAGTGTGTGTTGGCCCGTTCCAAAGTGCAGTGTGTGTTGGCCCGTTCCAAGTCCAGTGTGTGTTGGCCCGTTCCAAGTGCAGTGTGTGTTGGCCCGTTCCAAGTGCAGTGTGTGTTGGCCCGTTCCAAGTCCAGTGTGTGTTGGCCAAGTCCAGTGTGTGTTGGCCCGTTCCAAGTCCAGTGTGTGTTGGCCCGTTCCAAGTGCAGTGTGTGTTGGCCCGTTCCAAGTGCAGTGTGTGTTGGCCCGTTCCAAGTGCAGTGTGTGTTGGCCCGTTCCAAGTGCAGTGTGTGTTGGCCCGTTCCAAGTGCAGTGTGTGTTGGCCCGTTCCAAGTGCAGTGTGTGTTGGCCCGTTCCAAGTCCAGTGTGTGTTGGCCCGTTCCAAGTCCAGTGTGTGTGTGTCTCCCCTGCAGACAGAACATCTCCCACCCTATGATGTTGTTCCTTCAATGAGACCAGTGGTGTTGGTGGGGCCCTCACTGAAAGGCTATGAGGTGAGAGGCTGGTCGATACGCGCACACAAGTACGCATGCTGCACACACACACACACACCCTTTCCTTAGCCCATTAAACTTGGGCCAACCCCATAGACTTACTATTATCAAATGACACTACATTATGATACAGTGAGAATGAGTCATGTGCTGCCCACTCACAATCCCAGCCTGATGTACATGCATCATTTATAGAATAGATGATGTGTAGGTTATGTCAGGGATGCTTCAACATTTTCTCTCTGCCGCTCTCTCTCTCTCCTGCCTCTCTGCCACCCTCTCTCTCTCTCTCTCTCTCTCTCTCTCTCTCTCCTCTCTCTCTCTCTCTCTCTCTCTCTCTCTCTCAGCGCTCTCTCTCAGCTCCCTCTCTCTCACTCTCTCAGCTCTCTCACTGTCTCTCAGCTCTCTATCTCTCACTCTCTCAGCTCTCTATCTCTCACTCTCTCAGCTCTCTCTCTCTCTCTCTCTCTCTCTCTCTCTCGTCTCTCTCTCAGCTCTCGCTCTCTCAGTCTCTCCTCCTCTCAGCTACTCTCTCTTCACTCTCTCTCTCTCTCTCTCATCCTCTCCTCTCTCCTCTCTCTACTCTCAATCTCTCCTCACTCTCTCCTCTCTCTCCCCTCTCACTGCTCGTCTCTCCTCCTAATCTCTCCTCTCTCAGCTCCTCTCGCTCTCTCTCTCTCACTCGTCGCCTCACACTCTCGTCTCACATCCATCGTCTCCTCCTCTCCGCTCCCTCTCATCTCCTCTCTCAGCTACAGCAGTCAGCTCCTCTCTCTAACTCACCATCACTAACACTCTCTCTCTAAGCTCCACAGCAGTCACTACACTCTCTCTAAGCTCCACAGCCGTCAGACTAAACTCTCTCTAAGCTCCACAGCCATCAACTAACACTCTCTCTAGCTCCAGCCAGTCGACTAACAACTCTCTCTAAGCTCCGCTGCTACACTCTCTCTAAGTCCAACCAGTCAGACTAACAACTCTGTCTAAGCTCCACGCCAGTCAGCTAACATCTCTTCTATCCACAGCCAGTCAGACTAACATCTCTCTCTAGCTCCACAGCCAGTCAGACTAACATCTCTCTCTAAGCTCCACAGCCAGTCAGACTAACAACTCTCTCTAAGCTCCACAGCCAGTCAGACTAACAACTCTCTCTAAGCTCCACAGCCAGTCAGACTAACAACTCTCTCTAAGCTCCACAGCCAGTCAGACTAACAACTCTCTCTAAGCTCCACAGCAGTCAGACTAAAATCTCTCCTAAGGCCCAGCCAGTCAGAAACACTCAAGAGCCAGTAGATTAACTCTCCTAGGTCCCACAGCCACCACTAAATCTCTCTAATTCACACCCGTCAAATACAACTTCCTCTTTCTAAGCTCACAGCAGTAGGACGAAAATGTCTGTAAAGCTCACAGCAGTAGATAAAACTTCTCTAAGCTACAGCCAGTCAGACTAACAATTCTAAGCTCCAGCACATCAGACTAACATCTCTCGAAGCACCAACAGTCAGAAAAACATCTCTCTCTGTCCAACCATCATTATCCTCCCTCTAGTCACCCAGGTAACAGACTATAAGTCAGAAGCCCTGTTACTCCTGAACAGAAACACATGGTCTTGATGGAAGGTGGATACACCAGAACCAATGGATAGTGTACACTAGTTTGGTAATAAACAGGAAGCAGTACAGCATGTTGGCTGATGATCTCTAATTAATACAGCAATATACCTTCTTCTATCATCCTGACCTTCTCCTAATACTTTCACGAGCCGATAATGATCACATCAATCATATCTAGTTTAGAATTGATAGGGGTGCTGCGACGCTTGGCAAAAGGACTGTATGAAAAAGAAGGCATCATGAAGGGCTGAAAGAACGTAGTATTGGTAAGTAGAGGAGGATGGAATTCATAGTAGTAGAAGTTAGTTATTCATCTCTGTTCCCAACCTCTGTCCTCCCCTCATGGCTCAGACACTGTGCAAGTAGTTGACTTCTGAAAATTGGAATCTATCCAAAATCATTTATGATTTGAATGCATGTTCTCTTGTTGCTGGAATTGTTTCATTGTCAAATAAATTGAATCTATCCATCCACTTCCATCCATCCCCTTCCATCCATCCATCCACCTCCATCCATCCATCCATCCATCCATCCATCCATCCATCCATCCATCCATCCATCCATCCATCCATCCATCCATCCATCCATCTATGTTTTCAGAATCTCTATCACGCGGGTGACTGCTGATCTGTCTTTGGCCAAAAGGTCTGTATTGAACAAGAAGGCCATCATGGAGAGGTCTAACACACGCTCCAGTCTTGGTAAGTAGAGGAGGACTTGTCCTGCATCCCTCATCAGCTTTAATGTTGACATTGTTTAGTTTTCATCTTCATTGTTCTGGAATAACCCTCTGTCAGTCCTGACTACATGGCTTAGACAGCTGTGTTGATAGTTGTACTACAGATGTAGAATCTTAAATTGATCACCCTGTTGCAGAACTTTCGTGCAATGCAGGAAATGTAAAACTTGTAGTGTATTTGAGGTTTAAAAGGCTTCTGAAGTTTGTAACTTTCACTTTGAAATTTCAGGCTTGATTTTCCCTTATGAAAAAGGCATCAACCCCTAGAATAATGCCCATTAATTATAATCCACATAATTATTAACATTTCCTGTTGCTGCAGGATTATTTTCCTGCTGTAGCAAACTGTCTCGAATTAAGATCCTACATCTGTATATCACTCAGGACAGATATCACACTTTCTCTTCTCCGTAATACCTGTGCCTTCTGTAGTTCTGTTGGTCTGTCCTACCATGACTGTACTCAACCCTCTCTCTCTCTTTCTGTCTCTCTCTGTGTGTCGGGGTGGTAGCTGAGGTCCAGAGTGAGATTGAGAGGATCTTTGAGCTGGCTAAGACCCTACAGCTCGTAGTTCTGGACGCAGACACCATCAACCACCCAGCACAGCTCCTCAAAACGTCCCTGGCTCCTATCATCGTTTACGTTAAGGTGTCCTCTCCTAAGGTAAGGACTGATCCACTACCAGCACACGGTCACCCAGTCAGCCAGTCAGCATTCAGTCATCAGCCAGTCACCAGTCAGCCAGTCCCACCAGTCACCAGTCAGTCAGCCTCACCAGTCACCCCAGTCAGCCAGTCATCAGTCAGTCATCCCAGCCAGCCAGCAGCCAGTCATCCAGTTCAGTCCCAGTCAGTCGTCAGCCAGCCATCAGCCAGTCAGCCAGTCAGCCAGCCAGTCAGCATCAGTCAGCCAGTCAGCCATCAGCCAGTCAGCCATCCATCAGCCACAGCACCTCAGCAGTCAGCCAGTCATCAGCCCGTCAGCCAGTCAGTCACAGTCCAGTCAGCCAGTCAGCGCACAGTCAGTCACCAGTCATCAGCCATTGCCAGTCAGCAGCAGTCAGCTCAGTGCCAGTCAGCCAGTCAG